AGACAGTAAATGAGTAAACACAGCCAAGTTTCTTGTTTCTTTTTAAACATTGCGCAGAACTGTTAAAACTTTGAATGTTAAATCTTACTATGATATAATAAAAGACTAGACAGAACCACATATCCAAATGTCCTTAATATCTCTTCTTGGCTATTTCAAATTCTAAATCAAATGCCAATTATTATCTTTCCATAAAACTTGGTTCTCTTCCCATGTTTCCTACCTCACTGAATGGGCAAGACTGGGAACTAGGAATCATCACAATCACCTCTCTCTCCCTTACTTTCCAAATACAATCTATTATCAACTTGGGTTTATTTATTTCCTAAGTATTTCTGGGATCGTTCTTTCTCTCTCTCCATCTTCACCCACTCTAGTACAAGCTACCCTCATTTCCAATAGGACATTGCAAAGGCTCAACTGGAACCTGCATACATTCAGGCTTCCACCATGTGGATTCCATACTAGTCAGAGTGAGCCTTCCAAAGTATAAATCTTCTACTATTCCTTCTTCAAGACCTTCAGCAGCTTTCTGTTACTCTTAAGATAAGCATAAAACCTTCCACTGAGACCCATTTTTTGTTGTTGTTAAGTGTCATCAAGTTGGTTCTGACTCAGCAACCCTGTGTAGAATTTCGAGGAGCAACTGGTGGGTGTGGACACAATGACATTCTTCCCATTCCTCATACTTACTGAGCTCCTATCCAGTGGTTGTGCACATGCTATATCTTTGATTTGGAATAATCATTCCTCAGCTCTCGGTTCAAGCATCACTTCCTCAGGGAGGACCTCTATTTTATGTGCTCATTATACGTTGTATTTCTTTCATGTCCCTATTACAGTTGTAGTTCTACACTTGCTTTTGTGGTTATTTAGATAACGTCCATCTCCCCTCTACACCATCAACCCAGGTCTATTTTTGTTTGCCAGCACAAAGTATTGCACATGGTGGTGGTGGTTGTATGCCATTGAGTCAGTTCTGATTCATAGCAAGACACAGTATAGGGTTTCTGAAGCTGTGGATCTTAACGGAAACAGAAAGCCTCATCTTTCTCCCAAGGAGGAGCTGGTAGATTCAAACTGCTGACCTTGCAGTTAGCAGCCCAACATGTAACCCACTACACTGTTGTTGTTGTTGTTAAGTGCCATCGAGTCGGTTCCGACCCATAGCGACCCTGTACAGGGTTTCCGAGGGTGTAAATCTTTACGGGAGTAGAAAGCCTGATCTTTCTCCCGCGGAGCAGCTGGTAGTTTCGAACCGCTGACCTTAAGGTTCGCAGCCCGATTCGTAACCACTACGCTACCAGAGCACTACACTAGCAGGGCTCATTAAACCTTGCACATTGTGCACAATAAATATTTGCTGAATTACAGAACAAATAAATTCTTGTAAAACAGGATAAGCTGCTTGGGAAATTTCTAAGTGCTCTAAAAATTTAGAGGGAAAAATCTAAAAGTAGTCAATGTAATAGGGCCAGACAAAAAGTAAGACGAAGAGCATGTATTGAGTGAAAGCATGGCCCACATCAGGGGAAAGGCTACCCAAGTTAATGAGGTCAGAATTAGCAGGATTAACAAGACCTGAATTCTAAACAAAGAGCTTTAACCCATTTTAGAAGGCCCTGGGAGGTCGTGGGGCTTCTTGGATGAAGGATTAGAAAGAAGGTGGAAAGATTAGCATAGATAGGTTAACCCATCAGCTGGGTAGAGGACTGTTAGAAGTAGACAGAAAATAGCCAGTCTAGAGGCAAACAGATGGTTAAGATGCTTAATGTAGGTGACTGCAAAATGTGTCACCTGGAATGAAAAAGAAGGGGCAGATACTGGTACTAAGCAAGAGAGTTTGGTGATTAACTGGGAATGAAGAATGAAGGTGTCAAACTTGCTTTCCTCTGACCCCACCTTACCACGGGATGTGCAGATTGTTAGAGCCAGATATAAAGACTGGAGAAGAACAAGACATGCTCTGTATTCCCTATTCTTAAAATACACTTTATTCTCCTTCAAGGACTTGCAAAAATGAGACAAATTATTATGCTGAAAGAAAGCCAAGAGTGCTGCACAATAATTATCCAACATCACATTCCACTTCATTGTTGTTGGGTGAGTTGCTTCTTAATTAGCATTTAGTTAAGATACCCAGGAGGCAATCATTCTTTCTGCATTTATTTCTGAGTATCAGATTAAGCTAAAGTAAACAAACCTTCTCCATGGTATGAAATAGGCAATAGAGCAGTGAACTAAGGATAAGTGAACCAAGTTCTGGTCTCAGCACTCAAACTAACTTCCTTGTGCCAACCTAAGTTCATGACTTCCCTGAACCCAGGTTTTTTCATCTGTAAACTGGCCAGGGAGGGACAGCAGGAACCAGGAGTGAATTCTGCCGGTGTCTAGCTGAGCACTGAGATTTTAGGGAAGTATTTCTGGAACCAACATAGTGTCAAGGAAGAAGTTAAGTGGCTAATTTCCCATTGACCATCCAAACTCCATTCATCTTGAGATGGTTCATTCAGGTATTGTTAGGTGCCGTTCAGTTGGTACCAACTAATAGCGACCAACAACAGAACGAAACATAGCCTAATCCTGCACCAACCTCACAATTGTTGGTACACTTGAGCTAATTGCTGCTGTCACTGTGCCAATCCATCTCATTGGGGGTCTTCCTCTTTTTCACTGACCCTGTACTTTGTCAAGCATGTCTTTTCCAGGGACTGGTCCCTCCTGATAATATGTTGAAATACAAGAGACGAAGTCTGACCCTCCTGGCTTCTAAGGAGCATTCTGGGGCTGTACTTCTTCCGACACATATATGTTTGTTCTTCTGTCAATCCATGGTCCTTTTAATATTCTCCTCCACAACATAACTCAAATGTATCAATTCTTCAATGGTCTTACTTATTCGTTGTCCAACTTTCACATGCATAGGAGGTTATTGAAAATACCATGGCTTCGGTCAGGGGCACCTTAGTCCTCAAACTGACATCTTTGCTCTTCAACACTTTAAAAAGGTCTTGTGCAGCAGATTTGCCTAATGCAATATGTCACTTGATTTCTTGACTGCTGCTTCCATGAGTGTTGATGGTTGATCTGAGCAAAATGAAGTCTCTGACAACTTAAATCTTTTCTCCATTTAGCTTGATGTTATTTATTAGCCCAGTGGTTAGGATTTTTGTTTTTCTTTACATGGAGGTACAACCCACACTGAAGGCTGTGGCCTTTGACTTCTTTAGTAAATATTTTAAGTCCTCTTCGCTTTCAGCAAGTAAGGTTGTATTACCTGCATATCACAGGTTGTGAACGAGTCTTCCTCCAATTCTGATACCACATTCTTCTTCAGATAATCTAGCTTCTCTAATTATTTGTTTAGCATACAGATTGAATAAGTATGATGAAAGAATACAACCCTGGTGCACACCTTTCTTAATTTTAAACCACTGAGTGTTCTGGTGTGGTACTGTGAGTTAATACGCTGGACTGCAAGGTCGGCAGTTCAAGCTCACCAACCGTTCCTTGGAAGCCCTATACAGGATTGCTATGAGTCATAATCAACTCGATGGCACTTAACAACAACAGTGTTCCCTTGTTCTGTTCGAACAACTGACTCTTGGTCTATCTACAGGTTCCTTATAAACACAATTAAGTGTTCCAGAACATTCATTCTCCACAATGCTGTCCATAGCTTGTCATGATCCATACAATAGAAAGTTTTTGCTTAGTCAATAAAGTACAGGTAAACATCTTTCTGGTATTCTCCGTTTTACTGTATTGCACTCTATATCAGCAGTCTTAATAAAATTGTAACAGGTCTTCAGTATGATCATGTCTCCAGTCTCCTCTTCCCAAACACATACCATGTAAAAATGATAGGTCTAGCTGCTTTCTACATAATCCTGGTATGGCTCTGTATGATAAGCATTGGACTGCTAGCCAAAAGGCCAGCAGTTCAAACCCACCAGTCGCTCCTTGGAAACCCAATAGAGGGGTCACTCTGTGTCAGAACCAACTTGACAGCAGTAACAACAACTACAATAGATGTTTTGTAAGAATCTTGCCCCTTAAAAATCTGCTGTCTGATTTCTCAAAAGAGGATATTACAGATCGATAGCTGAGTGAACCTGAAAGCTAGCACCACTCTATGACCTTCCAAAAAAAAAAAAAAATCATAAACCATGTTGTAGACACTTAGACACTGCACTAGGTATTTCTTGATCTTACTTCAGCCAACAAAAAAATCCAAACCCACATTAAACACCTGATGTTTAATTAGCACCATTTCCCATGCAGACTCCCCAAAAACTAAATTGCTAAAATTGCTATTTCCCCTTTAAAGTGCTGGAGCCAAAAAAATTGAAATCTTAATCTCTCATATATGAAATGGAACACTGAAATCAGATGTTCACTTAAGGCTTTTACCATTAGCACTCTCTGGTTCTAAAATATGAATCTAGTTATTGGGCTTCCATTTAAAGCAGGACTTCAAACAAGTTCATTTGGGTTTTATCCCATGCTGAGAATTTGCAGTTCCACCTAATATATGTGGTGGCTATGTGCTGAACCAGAATGTATATTTTAACAAGATCCTCAGGTTTACCTGCTAGGATCATATTATAAACTCTCAGGAGTAAAACAAGTGCATTTCTAGGCCAACTTTAAAAGTATGTAAAAGATGAAAAGGAAAAAGTAACTAGGAATTTCAAGGGTGGTGTTTCTATCTCTCTCAATTAATTCCGTCGTAGAGACCAAGAAGTGCCTAGTGAGTGCAGGAGAGGAAGTTCAGACGCCCCGGGGTTTCTTTCTTAGTAGCACCTGTTTCCAAAGGGCATGGACTAACAAAAAAGGAAAAAAAACAGGTTCTCACAAACAGAAACTCGATCCAGTTCCCCGCACCTCTAGGCAAGGAGTGCAGCCCAGGCCTCGATTGCTCCGCCTCTGCAAGGCCGGGCAACAATGGCTTCCGGTCTCATTGGGCCCAGGGTGAGTCCCCTTTTCCCACGGCTCACCTGCTGGGAGCCAGGTGACAAGCAGCAGCCACGGTGCCGGCAGCTCAGGACCCATGCCAGCTCCTCTCAATCCTCCTTCAGCTCAGGGGCTTCATTAGCTGCCACTCAAGACGCATCACTTCTCTAAGGAATCCCTCCAGTTTCCCTGCACGCAGAGTAGCTCAGCAAGAGGCTCAGCTCAGGTCCCCCGCCAGGTGAGCCTGGCTCATCCTTACCTTGGCCGTCCTTGCGGCTCCGCCTCCTGCCAAGCTGCTCCGTTTCCTGCTCCGCCCTCTATCCTGCCTCCCATTGTCCCCTCTGCAGGCCAGGTAATTCTCCTCCTCACTAAAAAATGGTTTCCTGCCACTCACCTTGAAAAGTTAGCATTTTCTTACAGTTCTTGGAAAATCTCAGCCTCAGGCACAGCTACAGAAATAGTCAAGCACTGAAATTGTACTTTTGTCCAAACATCAGAATACTCATCTTTTAGGTAACTTTACCAAAATATTAGCTCAAAAATACAGAAGTCAAGTTCATTAATCGTTTAACAGGTAAACCACTATATGAAAATTACTACTGCACTTTCCTTTCTTTCTAGAATGTGCTCTAGAGTCTAGAATGTGCTCAGTCACACACATACATCCCACAACCATCACCGGCTTATTTTCTTTCTACACTCCGCCCAGCAAGGGCACACATGGGTTTTTCGACCTGTGGAAGTCTCAAATCGGAAAGTGTTAAACTGATCTATCCTAGTTGGCGATCTGTTCACCTGTGCCCCACTTCAAGTTACATTCAGGAAACGGGCCATACCTGCCAAATGTTACACATGACTGCCTACCCTGTCCACATTTTGTCCCGTTTGCTTGCCTGAATTATGTGGATATAAGTTTCTAGGAGTATTTCCTGAGTTATCCATTCTCTTATGTGAGCATTAAAACAACATTTTTTTATCTCTAAAAGTGAGATAAATATGAAGTTTATGCATAATGTCTATTCAAGTTTTTCAGAAACTACAGATGTAGATGTGAACTAAATAAATAGACTTTAAATTCCACAATTATAAAAGTAACATATGCTCCTCATAGGAAAATTGTTTAAAAATATAAGCTAATGAAATTAATAAAAAGTCACAAAAGACTTTTGTTTATAAAAAGGTGCTAGAAATTTTCATTTAGTGGTAGAGATGTCTCTCATTTGGTTAAGAAGCCATATTAGTATTTCCTTTTATGTTTTTCAACTAACATTGGACAGCAGGCATATAACATAATGTCAAAATTTTATTAATCTGGTCCCTCTTGACAATATGTCCAAAATATGAGAGACAAAGTCTGGCCATCCTGACTTCCAGGGAGCACTCTAGCTGTGTTTCTTCCAACACAGATTTGTTTGTTCTTTGGCAGTCCATAGTAATTTTAATATTCTCCTACAACATCATAACTCAAATGCATCAATTCTTCTATAGTCTTCCTTATTCACTGTCCAACTTTCACATGCATATGAGGTTACTAAAAATACCATGGCTTGAGTAAGGTGCACCTGAGTCATTAAACTGACATCTTTGCTCTTCAACACTTTTAAGAGCTCTTGTGCAGCAGATTTGCCTAATGCAATATGTCAATTGATTTCTTGACTGCTGCTTCCATGAGTGTTGATGGTTGATCTGAGCAAAATGAAGTCTTTGGCAACTTCAATCTTTTCTCCATTTATATGGATATTGCTTATTGGTACATAGTACTTTTAATATTCTTCTCTAACACCATAACTCAAATTCATCAATTCTTCTAGGTTTACCTTATTCATTGTCCAATTTTCACATGTATATGAAGACATTGAAAATACCATGATTTGGGTCAGATGCTCCTTAGTCCTCAAGCTGTTATCTTTGCCTTTAACAGTTTTAAATGGTCTTGTGCAACAGATTTGCCTAGTGCAATATGTCATTTGATTTCTTGACTGCTGCTTTCACGAGTGTTGATTGTGGATCCAAGCAAAGAATTAAAGACCAGAGGGACTACAATGTAAATGGTGGTTATGTTCATGTCATGAGGATCTATGGATAATTTTAATTTGTTATTTATTCTCATTTCCAATTTTACACAGTGGAGGCAAATTGCCTTTGTAAGAAAAGGGGATGAAAGAAAAATAAATGCCTTCCAGTCTTCAAAACTATGAGAGGACTTCAAAAAGTTCATGAATCATTCCATTATCCTTTAAATCTGTTTTTTCACAAATTTTTGAAGCTCCCTTGTATTTAGCCTTTAATGAACTTGCCTAATTATCTCGGAGGCACATGATCACTTTTTTCCTACAAAGGATTTTTAAGTCTCTGAGGCTTACTGCATTCTTGACTTTATTTGCAGTTGGAATTTGTAGACACTGTGACTGATTTCCCTTTCAAGTTCCGCAGCTTATAGTACAATGCCTTATGCTATGGGTTGAATTATATCCCTAAAAAAATATGCTAAATTCCTAACTCTCTCCCTCTCTTCCCACTTTTTTTTTTTTTTTAATGATTATGAATGTAACCTTATTAGAAAACAGGTTACCTTCCAAATACAATTACTCTTTGCAGGCATAATTAGTTAACTATAGTAAGGTGGGTTCTTCACAGACACTGAAGGAAGACTGCCAAATGAAGATGGAGATCTACAGGAATTATGCTCCCACAAACCAAGGGACACCTAAGGCTACCAGAAATTGAAAGAGACATGGAAATGCCTTTTCTTAGCGCTGTCAGAGAAAGCATGGCCTTGTTGGCACCCTAAACCCCAGTTTTTCGCTGAAACTTCCCAGTTTTGGTTACTTTGTTAGTACCTAAGAAACTAATAAACCTTCTTGTAGTTACATGCCATCAAGTTGATTCTGACTTATAGCAACCCTATATAGGGTTTCCAAGGAACAGCTAGTGGGTTTGAATTGTCAATCTTGCAGTTAGCAGTCTAGTGCATATACTACAGTACCACACTGGGTGAATGAATGAACAAACCAGCACTCTTCGATCCTGGAATGTCCTCTGTCACTCTTCATAGAACTCAGCAATCCTCACAGATCCCAGCCATTCAAAGGTCAAAGACTTTAGTGCAAGCCACCTTGGATGGCCATCTTCCATGGCAGGAACCACAGGGACAGGTGAAACAAAACAGGGGAGGAAGCACTTTTCCCTTTAGGAACCAACCAACAAATGACAATTAACTTGAAAAGTCACATAGATACTGGTCATTGTAAATAGACAGTAAGCAGCACAGTGTTTAAGCACTTGGCTGTTAACCAAAATGTTGATAGTTCAAACCTGCCAGCTACTCTATGGAAGAAAGATGTGGAAGTCAGCTTCCATAAAGATTGTCGTTGTTGTTGTTAAGTGCCATTGAATCAGTTTCCGCCCATAGCAAACCCTGTATAGGGTTTCCAAAGATTACAGCCTTCGAAACTCTATTGGACAGACCTACTCTGTCATAGTGTAGCGTCACTATGAGTTTGAATTGACACCATGGCTGTCATTGGATTGAGTCATTTTCCACACCTTTTTCTTTTCAGAAATATTTCGTTGACTCCACCTCCTCACTTTTGGTAACAAATACAAATCCCCTCCCTCACAGTCACCACTTTTTTCTTCAAGAATATAATTTTAAAGATATATTAAACATAAGGAGCTCTGATAGCATAGTGATTACGAATCAGGCTGCTAATCTCAAAGTCAGCAGTTCGAAACCACCAGCTGTTCCGCAGGAGAAAGATGAGACTTTCTGCTCCCATAAAGATTTACAGCCTCAGAAACACTGTACAGGGTTGCTATGAGTCGGAACTGACTCCACAGCACATAACCACCACCACCAACTACCACCACCCCCTATTAAACATAGCTCTTTCCCTCAGGAAGGCCCTATTCAGTACACTGACCTTAAAAATCAATATGGTTTCTTCTAAGCGCATCTCTGTACTGCTCCATGGTAAAAAAAAGGCAAAAAAAAAAAAAAAAGGTATTTCCAGACTGACTTCCATAGTGTCCTTGTTCTGTATCTGGGTCGCATCCAAGTCCCCTTTTTTCCATCTTTTCACTTCCCTCTCCATTCTTGGATCTGGTCACTGGTTCTCCGGATGGACCTTCTCAATTAAATGTTTTTCTCATAGTCTCTTCTCTTCCAGAAAATAGGAAGTAAATTCAGGAAGTGACTGGAGAATGCCAGATGGTAAAATATATTTAAGAATCTTGATATCTTCCATCTTCCACAGCAGAGGGGTACAGTAGCAGAAGCCTCACCCAATAAAGTGAGTGAAAGTACACCCAGCCCCTTCCACAGACCCTGTATGTGCTTGGAAGAACATTAAGTCTGTTCAGATGTCAGTAATCTGTGTTGTTTCTGGCTTCGTGAATTATTTTAGGCAAAATTTCAATCCCAGCCTAGAAAATAATGGTAAACCCTTTCCTTTCTCATACCTCTTTTCCATGTCTCTCAGTTATTGGCTTTGGTAGAAAGGTCATTTTAATATTAATACAAGCTAGCATTTCTCAATGTTTGTTTCACTGAGCTGTAGTTCCATGGAATGTTAATACTTTGTTGTGTTGTTAAGTGCCATCAAGTTGGTTCCAACTCATCAACGCTATAAAGACTATATGTATCTTTGTGGGAACAGAAAGCCTCATCTTTCTCCCATGGAGTGGCTAGTAAACTCAAACCACCAACCTTGTGGTTAGCAGTCCAGTGCTTATCCTATATAGCCACATACTCTATGATCAAATAAGGGCTCTATAGTCAAATACATTCAAGAAATGCTGGATTTAACTAAATGAAACTTCCCCCTACACAGAATTTGTCAAACTCTGAGTGTGTTACCATACATTGGAATCACAAATTCTTTTTTTTCCTTGCACGTTTCTCAGGGAAGATGTTCCATAGAGCACAATTTGGGAAATATTGGTGGTCTAAACCAAACATGGACTCCTGGTGAGGTGCTGTAGGATCAGCACTGAGAATCTCAAGGTTAGCAATTCAAACCCACCAGATGCTCCTCACAAACCCTATACAGGTTGGAACCTACTTGATGGCGTTTAACAACAACAAACCAAACATAAAT